CAGGAAAGCTTTGGGAAGCACGGTGCCCAGGCCCACCCCGCAGGCCAGTTGGATGACTCTGGTTTTATCAGCGCAGCCAGAGAACACTGGGCCCGTCTCCCAGCTAGATGGTCACGTTCACTAAAGACGTTCTGTTTTCTTTGCTGCAGGCAAATGTTTTTCACCTTCTGCCAATAGTAAGGGTCTCCTTCCACTGGCTCCCAGGGGCCTTCTCCTCACTTTCCTGGGAGCCCCGGGCACACCCTCAGGCCAGTGTCACTGACCTTTTAGATTCCTTACAGCAGCGCCCTCTCTGGTACCAGGTTTCTCTTCCAGTCCCTACTGCTGCTAACAGAACTCCCCAGAGATGGAACAGCCACCTCATCCTGCTCACAGTCTGGGGTCAGGGACCCAGACAGTGGCCCACAGTGCCTGCTCCTCACGGGCCTGGCTGTCATGCTGGCTTCACCCGAACACCTTCATGCAGCTTCCGGTATGGCCAGGACTCCTCTCCGGAGCTCAGCCTGTGCCGGGAGGCGCCTCTCCATTCCCCTGCTTCCTGAACAAGCCGGCCCTTTCTTGCCTGTGGCTCTCCCCTCTCCCATTTGCTTCCTCTCCAGATTCCCTCGGGACCTCAGTGTGAATGTCATGTGCTTCCAGGGGCCACCTCAGCCTCCAGGGCCTCCCCCATAGTCTGTCTTCCAGGGCCTCCCCCATAGTCTGTCTTAGCTGCCGTGTGTGGCACTTGTCACAGAACATGTTGCTGAGCCTCTGTGCCTCGGTTTCCTCAGCCGCACAAGGGGCTGTTGGGCTGGGGAGCTCCATGCACAGTGCTCGCCATCGTCACCTGGGGGTGAATGCGGCTCCGACGTTGGGGCCCTGGGGTCTGTGGTTCCTGTTGGTGCCTGGCATTTGTGTCCGGTGTTGGCGCCCTCCTCATCTTGTTCTGAACGACTCTTCTCCACTCCCCGGGGAGACCTGGTGTATGTTCTTGGTTATTCCAGGCAGGAGGGGCTCATGCTGCAGTCGGCCAGGCTGAGGAAGGGGCTGGTCCCACAGCCACACGATCCCGTCACCTCCTGTGGGCCTTCTCCCCAGGCCTGGGGGCTGACAGATAGGGGCCTTCGGAACCTGTGTTCTTCCTCCCTGCGCCCCCTGAGGACCAGCCTGTACTGTGCATCCTGATGGTCCCCGTGGTGTCCCAGGACCCCGGGCGCCTGACTCCACAGGGAGCCGACGGGGTGCGTGGGGATGTGGTTTGATTTGGCGGTGTCTCTGTTTTCAGAGGATGAAGCATTCGTGGAGCTCTCGGAAGAACCCAAACTCTTAAAGGAACTTGTTATATTTTCAGACAGGGCTATGTGGAGACGTGGCACACCTGTCTTTCTAAGAACCAGTGCTCTAATGTCGGTGTGAACGAGGTCGAGCCTGTGTCAGAGGCCGTGGCTGCTGTAACAACAGAGCCCGAAACTGGGCAGCTTAAAGCACATTTATTCTCCAGTCTGGGGTGCAGGTGTCACAGGGCTGACCCCTCAGAGGCTCCAGGGAGAGTCCTTCCCACCTCCTCCAGCTCCGTGACTGCTGGTGCTCCAGGCTGTGGCCCTCTCTGCCTGTCTGCTTCTCAAACGGACTCGTCCAGGGCCCGTCCACATCCCGAGCCCCCTGTCCCCCTGGGGCCAAGCAGTCCTTTAGGTCTAGGGGGTCTTTGCCCTCAGTGCACTCTCCCAGCAGAGGCAGGGTCCCTGGGCGACTGGGCTCTGGGAGGCCTGTTTCCGTGCCCTGTGGGGGGTGCCGGGAGGGCTGCCTGGTCTCTGAGCTCAGGTCTCGTGCCCAGGCAGTGGGGTCCTGGTGAAGAAGCTATGTGAGCTGCAGCCCGAGGAGAAGTGCTGTGTGGTGGGGACCCTCTTCAAGGCCATGCCGCTCCAGCCCTCCATCCTGCGGGAGGTCAGCGAGGAGGTGAGCACATGTCCCTGGGGACAGTGGGCCACTTGCCTTGGACCCCAGGATTTGGGGCTGGGCCGGGGGGGTGGGGGGGGCATCTCAGTGAGCAAGCACAGGAGCCCTGGTGGACTCTGGCCCGACCACCCCTCACCTCTGCCTTCCAGCACAACCTGCTCCCCCAGCCCCCCCGGAGCAAGTACATCCACCCAGATGATGAGCTGGTCCTGGAAGATGAATTGCAGCGAATCAGACTGGAAGGCACCATCGATGTGTCCAGGCTGGTCACAGGTGGGGCGTGGGGCGTGGGGCGGGGTGGCCTGTGCCTCAGGCAATGGGTGAGGCCCAGGTGGGGTCAGTTCCCGCCTCTGCCCAGAGGTAGTGGTCCCGGGACGCAGGTCCTCGCGGTGGAGAAGGGGCTGGCTGTGCCGTGTGGGAGCTGGAGGAGGTGGCCCTCGGCTCCCCTCCTGGGCCTGACGCTGCTGCTCCCAGGGACGGTGCTGGCCGTGCTGGGCTCTGTGAGAGACGACGGCAAGTTCGTGGTGGAGGACCATTGCTTCGCAGGGCTGGCTCCTCAGACGCCTGCACCACCCCTTGAACTGGACAGGTGAGCAGGTGCTTGGGGTCCCGGGCAGTGGTCCGGGGGAATCCTGGTCCCTGGGCTCCATCTTCCTGCTCACCCGTGAAGGTGATGGGGGCGGGGGGCACCTGTTTCCACGGCACCCAGAGGACCCCGACTTCTGCTGCAGGTTTGTGCTGCTGGTGTCCGGTCTGGGCCTGGGTGGAGGCGGGGGTGAGAGCCTGCTGGGCACCCAGCTGCTGGTGGACGTGGTGACGGGGCAGCTGGGGGACGAGGGGGAGCAGTGCAGTGCGGCCCACGTGTCCCGCGTCATCCTCGCCGGGAACCTCCTCAGCCACAGCACCCAGAGCAGGGATTCCATCAACAAGGTAGGGCGCCACCTGCCCGCAGCAGCCCCTCCTTCCCTGCGTCGGGCACAGGGTCTTGCAGTTCTGGTGGGCAGTGCCCAACAGCGATGCCGGGGCCACCTTTGCTCAGGGACCGTCCTGGCTCAGCCCCTGCCTTCTGCCCCCTGCGGGAGGGCTTTGCTCTGCTCCCAGCCCAGTGCCCCAGGAGGTAGCTAGGTGACCCTCTGATCTAAGACTCCCCACTGCCTCACAGCCTATGGCTCTACTCCCAGGCCAAGTACCTGACCAAGAAAACCCAGGCTGCCAGCGTGGAGGCCGTCAAGATGCTGGACGAGATCCTCCTGCAGCTGAGTGTGAGCACCCGGGCCTGGCAGGGACAGGATTAGACACTGAGGCTGCGGCCGGGCACCAGGAGGCAGGTGGCGAAGGGCATTGGATGGGCTCCAGGCTGCATGGTGGGTGCCAGCCCTGAGGCTCCTCTGCCCTGTGCCCTCCAGGCCTCGGTACCCGTGGACGTGATGCCAGGCGAGTTTGACCCAACAAACTACACACTCCCCCAGCAGCCCCTGCACCCCTGCATGTTCCCACTGGCCACCGCCTACTCTACGCTGCAGCTGGTCACCAACCCCTACCAGGCCACCATCGATGGAGTCAGGTAGCCAGCACAACCCAACTGCAGCCTGACCCATGGCCTCTGGACTCAGTGGCACCAGGAGGGGAGGGTTGGGTGCAGGACTGCAGAGAGCCCACCTCGATTGGCCCCTTTCCTAGGGTGCCTGGGGACACCCCCACGTGCGCCTGGTGAGCTCGGGCTGCCTGTGGGAGGAGTGCAGGTGTCAGACCCCCTTGCCCTGCAGGTTCCTGGGCACAGCGGGACAGAACGTGAGTGACATTTTCCGGTACAGCAGCATGGAGGACCACCTGGAGATCCTGGAGTGGACCCTGCGCGTCCGCCACATCAGCCCCACAGCCCCTGACACCCTGGGTAATGCACGGGCTCAGCTATGTGGGGTGGGACCAGACACCAGGGAAGGCCTGGTGGCCCCGTGATGCCCGGCGGGTTCCCGCGTGGATTTGCACTCACCGGCCTTGCCCCAGAGTGCGATGCTGTTCTGGGAGCAGCCCTAGAATTGCCCTGCACTCAGCTGTCGGCCCCCTTCTCTAGGTTGCTACCCTTTCTACAAAAGCGACCCATTCATCTTTCTGGAGTGCCCGCACGTCTACTTTTGTGGCAACGCCCCCAGCTTTGGCTCCAAAATCATCCGAGGTAAGTTTTCTGTTCGGACAAGGACTCACTCTCATCGGGAGCCCAGGCCCACCTGGCGCTGGCTGACTGCGTGCCGACCGGGCGCTGGAACTGTCCGCGCCCACGGCCGGGTCAGGGCTCCTCTGGTCGGCGTCACGTTAGCCTTTGACGTTTAGGGTGTCCTCAGCCCTTTCCATTTCTGCCCAGAGAGGCGTGCGGTCAGCACTCCCACGTGGGGATGGGGACTCCGTGTCTCGTGGTGGCTTCCCTTGGAGGCGGGCTCACCCAGAACCTAAAGCGGGTCCCCACGTGTCGTTTGCAGGCCCCGAGGACCAGACGGTGCTGCTGGTGGCTGTGCCCGACTTCAGTGCCACGCAGACGGCCTGCCTGGTGAACCTGCGCAGCCTGGTCTGCCAGCCCATCAGCTTCTCGGGCTTCGGCGCCGAGGACGACGCCCTGGGAGGCCTGGGTCTGAGCCCCTGAGTCGTGGAGGCGGCCTCTGCCCCTGCTGGGTCAGCACAGAGCAGCTTGTCTGTAAATAAACCTGACGGCTAACTGGTGACCTGGGTGGACCTGTGCTGCGCCCGCGCCCTCCTGTGGGGGAGCCACACCGAGTGGGCCTCCTGCCCTTTCCCCAGCCGGTCAGGCCCGTGGTCAGGGACACCTGTGCCATGAGCTTGTTTATTAGTGTGGCCTGGGCGCGCCCCCAGCTCCGCCTGCAGGGTCGGACCTCTCCGAGGCCGGGCCAGTCCAGGAGCCTGGCAGACCTGGCTCTGAGGTGTGGCACGTGTGTGCCACACCAGGGGGCCTCGGTGTGCTGATGGCTGCCGAGCGGCCCAGCGACGTGACCTGGCGTGGGCCCCGCTGTATCTTATTTTGCTTAATATTGCCCCCTTTTTATAGTGTAGATCTAACTCAAAATGACCATTATAACCAAATTGTTATGTCCCCCTTCCCTCCTATTCATGCCAGTCCTCGTCCTCAGCGGGTGCCAGCTCGGTCTCAAACTCCTCAGTCCCCAGTTCCCGTCACCCACCTCCGTGTAGGTCTCAGTCTCGGACTCCCCCCCAGTCGGCCGTGGGCTCAGGCGGAAAGCCCCAGGGCCCCAGGGTGGAGTTGGGGGCGGGGGAGGGGGCCAGGGAGGGGGTGGGGAGCAGCACGGTGGGCAGCACAGTGGGCAGCGTCGGGGTGGTGGCCGGGCCCGCGGTGGCATTGAGGCGGCGAAGCCGCATCTGTTCACGCATGCGCAGCCGGTACTGCAGGCGGCGTTGCTGCAAGCGGCGCTGCTGGGGGGTCATAGGGCGCGAAGGGTCGATGCGCGGGATGGGCCGGTTCCCGTTCATGGCCAGGATCTCCCGGATGCGCTTCCAGTTGGAGCGCGCCAGGACGAAGCTGCACTGGGTGGCCCCGATGTCGTAGTCCACGTTGCAGGTCTTGGCGCTGGGCGTGTAGCCCTCCGCCTGCGCCGTCACGCGGTACTCCCCGGGGTTCAGGATGCGCCAGTAGTCGCCGCCAGGGGCTGCAGGGGGAAGGTGGGTTCAGCTGCCGGAGGGCGCCCCACCCAGGCCCCAGGCCCCTCTGCTGGGCAGACCCCAGCGTCTGGAGGCACCCCGAGGAGCGGGGCCTGCCGGGACCAACACAGATCGGGCCCCCACCGTGGGAAGTGGGGGAGAGGAGTGCAGCAGGTACCTGTCTTCACACCGTGGTTAACGCCACTCACGGAGATGGTGGCATTGGCAATGGGGACGCCCTGTTCATCCGTCACCACCCCCTTGATGCCGCGGTGAACCTGCAGGAAGGGGTGAGGCCGGGTGTCCACATGCTGACCCTGCGGCCTGCGCCCCTGCCCTGTCCAGGCCCCTCTCGCTGCCCTTCCCCGCCCCCCCCCCCCCCCCCGTGCTGCCCCGCCCCCCAGCCCCACCTGCTCCATGAAGGTGAGCAGGGCCTCCTTGTTGTTCTCCCACTCCCGGGGCAGCTCGCTCTCATGCGGGAACTTGTCACAGCCCAGGTAGATGGAGAGCTCCAGGCAGTTGGTGTGCAGGTAACTGAAGTCATTGATGGCTGGTGGGAGCAGACAGAGCCGCAGTCACCCTCACCCCATCCCACACGCCCCGCCGCGGCCCCGCCCCATAGACTCACTCCCGGATCTGGGGTTCCACTTGGCCCCGTTGACGATGCCCGTGCCCCCGGTGTGGTCCTGCGCTTGGCACCCTCCCCGGTAGGGCTCGGTCATGGTGAGGTGGGTGGAGGCGAAGGAGATGGCCAGCCAGCGGAAGATGGCGTGGTCCGGGGTCTCCTGGGCCTCAGACACCTCGTCCTGGTCCTCTCCTCGGGCGGCCGCCAGGGCCGCGGCCATCAGCTGCTCCTGGCTGGGTGTGCGCGCCATGTCATAGGGGTAGGACACCAGCCGCTCGCCGCCGTTCAGGTTCGCCCCCAGCACGAACGGGTTCTTCTCCATCCAGGCGATGATGGCACGGACCTCCGTGGACACCTGGGGGCGGCTCCAAGTGAGGTCCGGGCCATGGCTTCCACCGCCCTCCATGGAGACCCGTACCAGCCCTCCCACCCCTGTTCCCCCAAAGCCCTGCAGTCAGTGCCCGGAGCTCCAGGGCCCCGGCTGCTCCCCTGACCCTACTGGCCAGGCGGCGGCCTCACCGTGGCATCCGGGGAGAGGTAGCGTTCGGGGATGGGCAGGTTGTTGTTGGGAACCCGGTAAGGGACCCATTTCCTCTCCTCCGCTCCCCAGAGCACAGAGTTGAGATCCGGGAAGTCCTCGTAGATGTCGAAGCCTTCCTCGGTCCACAGCCCCAGGGCCCAGTTCCCGAACTCTGAACCCTACGGGGGGCGGGGGTGTCAGCAATTGGGTGGTCCACACTTGCCCCATGCCCTCCCCGCCCACCCAGCCTGCCCCCAGCCCCACCCCCCGCCTGCCCCCTGCACCCACCATCTGCGCTGCCACCTCGTAGCCATCGGGGTTCAGCGAGGGCACCAGGTGGATGCGCGTGTCGTGGACCAGGTTGCGCACGCGGGGGTTCCCGTCGCGGTACTCGCGGCACAGGTACTGCATGAGCAGCAGCAGCAGCTCGCGGCCTAGGACCTCGTTGCCGTGGATGCCGGCTGTGTAGCGGAACTCCGGCTCCCCTGCAAGGGCAGGACCTCAGCAACCACTCAGCCTACCGAGGGGGCGTGGGCAGCTGAGGAAGGAACCGAGCTGGCCTCACTCCGAGGGCTGGGCAACTGAGGCTTGTAGGGCCAGCAGGAGGGGTTCCGAGGGCAGGCAGAGGTGAGCAGTAGTGCCAGGGCCTTGCCTCTACTCTGGGGAGGGCCAGGCCTCAGGGGCTATGGAGGCCTCACCCAGCTCGTGGTCCCCAGGGTTGTCGGAGATCTCCATGGCGTAGATCTTGAGCCCGCGTGAGCTTTTTCCCAGGCTGTATGTGCGGGTGATTGTGGGGCACTCCTCATTCACCACCTTCATCAGCTGGGCAGGGGAGAGGACCCCGTCACACAGCCCAGCACCCACCTCCCCAGGGACCATGGCCCCCGCATTGCCCGTCTGCTCCCTGAGAAGGCCTCGTGATAGGCATGGCCCCTGCCGGGGAGCCCGGCCCTCGGTGCTAGTGTGGGGTGGAGGGTTCCTCCTTCCTGAGGCGAGGGCCGCCCACCTCCCTCGGGGGCCGTGTTGGGGGGGGAGCAGAATGGAGCTCCCACACAAGACCCTGCGAGCCAGGAGCCTGAGCTCTGGACAGGACCCCCTGCCCTGGACGAGCACCCACCTGGCGCATGTCCTTGTAGCTGTGGTGCCGGAAGTCCAGGTCATCGGTGGTGACCACCTCGTTCTGTGCATAGTAGCTGTGGACAGCTGCAGAGGGTGGACAGGCAGGGCCCTGAGCTGGTCAGCTGCCAGCCCAGCCCCGGTCCCCCAGCCGCCCCTCCAAGCCCCTGCCCCCACCGGCACTCACGGGTCACGGGGCAGCCCAGCACCTCTAGGCGCATGCACAGGCTGCCATTCCAGGTGAGGGGGTACACACGGATGAAACGGGCTACCACTGGCTCCGGGAGCTCGCTCAGAACGGGCGTGTCCTTGTCCACATTCCCATGGAAGGTCTGGGGAGAGGCAGGCCTCAGAGCAGCACCCATGCTGGGCCAGGGCCCACCTGAGGCCCAGATGCTGGGAGCGAGCTGAGGGCTCAAGGACCCACCATTTCCTCGTAGCCGTTGGTGTACATCACCCATGTCTGGCTGTCATTGCTGAAGCCCACGAAGAAGGAGGTCACAAAGTCGTCACTGGAGAGCGACAGTGGTCAGCGGTCAGGGCAAGGCCGGTCTCCGGCCTGGGTCCTAGGCCGTCAGATGGCTGACGCCCCTCTCCTGGGCCCAAGCACTTAAGAGCTGGCAGGGGTGTGCAGTGCTGCCTGGCATCAGGAGTGGCTCCCGTGCCCGCTGCATGGCCAAGGAGGGGGCTGAGGCCCGGGGGCCCACAGGAGTGTCCGGAGCGGAACTGAGGCGGGCCTGGGGCTCCCCACCCCCCGAGCGCCTGTGAGCAACGTACTGGACGCTGGAGTCGCGGCCCTGAGTGATGACGCCTGTGAACCTGGTGGTCCTCCTGGTGTCCACCTCGATCCACTGGTTCTGCGCATCGTCCTCGGCGCACCACGCCCCGTCGTAGTAGTCGTCCTCGACAGCACCCGCCTGCCGGGCAGCGGGAGGCTGAGCGGGGGGTGGGGCGGGGGAGCCCAGTCGGCCAGGAGAGGGGCCCCTCCCAGCACCCACCTGCATGTTGAGCCGGCCCCGCTGGGCGCCCAGGCCATGGCGCAGCATGGAGGAGGCTCGAATCTGGTTGTCCTCGATGCGGTGCGACTCCATCCCGATGGGGGGGCACTCTGAGGACAGACCCCGGGCTGGTGGCCCGTGGCTCCACTCCTCCCTCCACCCGCCTCAGAACTGGACCCCAGAGCCCTCTCTCCTCACGTCGGGGGGCCAGTCAGGGCAGCTCCACCCGGGCTGTGCTCCCCTCCCTGGCCTCAGCCTTCCCCAGAGAACAGGCTGATGACGCCCTGCTCCAGGGCCGGGGTGCACAGGACGTCCCGGGACAGCCATCCCAGGGCCCAGCCACCCCAGGCCTCATCCACACGGGCGTCTGCACACCTGCCTGTGCCATGGGCCTGTGCCCTGGGGTTGGGCCCGGGGCAGAGCCACTCCAGGCCCCAAGAACTGACGAGCAGGAGAGGGTTCTAGAGGCCCGGAGCGCTGGCAGGAAATCCAGGTTGGGGACCTACGTGTGCCCTTGGGTGGGTCGCGTGCCCCAGGCCCGCCCTGCACACCCTGCGCCCACACTCCCAGGCCCCTTACTCACTGATTTTCTCTGCTGGAGCCCACTCTTCCTCCTCGCCCTTCCGGGGCCCTGAGGACAACAAGAGAGGACTTGGTGCCGAGGGTCCTGGGGCACCCAGGAGTCCAGAGTTCTGCCACCAGACCTGGCCGTGTGGGCCCAACCCCAGCCCCAGACACACCTTTGTGGTCCTTGCCTTTCTCCCGTGTGGCACTTGTCATCGGTCTCCTCCTGCTTGGGGCTGCTGC